GTCGTCTGCATCAGAGGGTCTGAGCAATGTAAGCTGATCCGCTAACTCTCGATCATCCAAGGTTTCCACGTAATGGTCCACGTGTTCACGCTTTACACTGGGGGGTCCGCCCTTAATATCTAGCTTGGCCCTGAGCCCCGCCACGTTCAAACGGTACAGATATTTTAAGGGTGCCTCGTCGGTTCTCTTTCTGGCGTGATAATATTGACGGGCCACCGACACCCCCAAGCCTCAAAATTGTGCTTGGAACTCTCGCAGAAGCAGTTTCCAGTCGACGCGTACCGTTCGACCTAGCTGTCGATACCAATTCTGAGCTGGACCTTTGAGCAGGGACCCAAAAATGAGACACTTCTCGCTGTCTGGTGCCTGGTCTCGGAGGAAAGCCGTCTTTACCTTAGTGCTCCAGCTTCTGGCACGATCTTCATCGTGGTCCCTTCCGCTAAATTCCTTCAGATCCGACGAGGACGATACCCTAATGTGTGGAACAACAGTAGAGGGTCCTCCTGTCGTAGCCGCGGCCACAGTCGCTCGCACTGAGGTCATCGGGAACGTCAAGTCATCTGGGTCGTATTCATCATGGGTTGACCCCACAGACTCCATGTCCACATCAGGGATATCGCCTAGTGGTCCTAGGCGCTCAATTCGCTGGGAGGACCTGGGGTGAACTGGTCCTTGACCCTTCGTGGTCCACTGCAACTTTTGTGGAGCCTTGCTCTTCAAGGAACTTGGTCATCGCCTAATCAAAGTACTACTGGAGTGCGCTAGGGGAAACTGACTCGGTCTTTGTTTCCTGATCCGTTTTTGTCCCTATCAACCTTGGCTCCACTTTGCACCGGGCTTCCTTCTCACCCTGTGCTTGGCGCTGGACCCATGGGGTTTCTGTGTCCATATGGCCAGCTTCACGAATTCGTGCTTCTAACAACGCTGCACCAGCTGGACCCAATTGCATTCGATCCATCGTATCCATCAGGGCCGAAATCATAAATGAGGTGGCTGATTCGTATTGAGACCTTGGTGACGATTCATCGAGTGACCCAGCAGGAGAGCCCACACCAGGATCCACTACTCCTTCATCTTGACGGGTTACTTCCTTTGGGGGGAACTCCCCCACTAACGTCTTGAGGTGACCATGCAGGGTCACTAAGGTCTTCTTCAAGGTCTCGAACCCGAAATCGAAGAGGGTCTCAGCGGTGAAGTTCCCAGCATCCATCCCAGCTTCATGTAGCAGATTCATTACGGCCTTGAGGACCTTCAGGTCTGTGGTCGTGGTGGGAAGAGCCGTTATCGGACCGTGGACCTGGTCCAGAAGCTTGACCTTGAGCGTCTTCATCACCGGGTCCTTTCGAAGAAACTTCTTCAATTTATTCCGATGGTAGGCTTCTTCCAAATCTTCTTCTGTCCAGTCCTTACTAGCCACGCCTTGGCTCTCTCCCGACTCGTCCGTCGTGTCTCCGCCTCTCGGTGCCTTCAACTTGGTATGCTTCTTTTGCTTGTTCTTGGGCACCTTTGGCTCTTAAGTGGTAGGTTGGGAGACTTGTTTCGGGGCCCCTTGTATTTTAGCTTTCGCTGTCAAACTTGGGACCCCTGGACCATAATATTTAATATGGCCCATGTTGTTTTCTTCAAAGAATACATAAGGGGGAGGATTTTGTGGTTTTTCTTCATATTTTACCTTGACCTCAATAGAAGAGCTCCTCCCCGGGCTCTGCAGGTCCTCCGATCCTTCTTCCTTTTTGATCACTGGCGATCCGGTTTACAGTTTCTTGGTTGTTCTTTGGTCTATCTTGACCGTTGTCTTTTTTTCTTCGTGGGACTCACGGTGAAATCTCGCGTCTCCCGAAGATCCGGGAACGCGCACCATTGTGGTGAAGTGGATTCTCAAACAACGTAGGAGATCCACAAACACACACAGCGCCGGATTGCCGACTTACGGAGGGGGTACCCCGATACCGTGTCGTGTTAACCTTGGGTCTCACCTTGTGTACCCGTCGGCTTGGCTGGTCTTGCTCCTCGGTTGACGCAGAAGACTTAAAGACTTGGTCTTTGTATAAGACTTGGACTTGGTGGTCCCCGAGTGGATATACTTCACTTGGGACCGGGTTTCTTGGTCTCAATCGACTTAGTCGAAAGCGATTCACTTGGTACTAGGTACCCCTTTGGTGGCTGACTGTTCTTGGTCCTTGGACCCCTTTGTGTTCTTCCCCGTAAGGAAACCGCTTCCTGTAGCGTGTCGTAGAGTCTTGACACTTACTTGACACCTCAGGCCAACTATCCTGAGGTTCAACTTGCGTAGCTTGAGCCGTCTAACACCTGCTGACGTCGGGGGGCCAAAGGGTATCCCGCCCGGAAGAGGTGAAGCGACGGAGAAGCTTAGAAGGGGCGCTTAAAGCTGCCACGTGTAATGCAAATTCGAGTGTTTATTTATCTTATTCTCTGTATGCTTTTCTTGCCAAACCCTAACCCTTCGCTCTGGATGGTACCACGTGTCAACTTGTGGAAGAACCACTGGCTCTTTTAGGGCATGGGACTTGTACCGGATCTGCACTTTAAGGAAGCCTTGTACCTTCTATAACTTGGGGTCCACCTGTCACCTACGGTCCACCTGTTGTCGGGGGTCCACCTTTCACCTGGGGTCCACCTGTCACATGGGCATCACCTGGGGTCCACCTGTTGTCTGGGGTCCACCTGTTGTCTGGGGTCCACCTTTCACCTGGGGTCCACCTGGCACCTAGGATCCACCTGTTGTCTCGGGTCCACCTGTTGTCTGGGGTCCACCTGTCACACGGGTCCACCTGTCGCCTGGGGTCCACCTGTCACCTGGAGTCAACCTAAGCTGCCCTAGCAGCACTGGTCCTTTGGTCTGTAGTGTAGGACATCCTAGTACCTTCTCCGAACTCGGGACCTTGGACCAGTTCGGGGCCCTGGTCACTCCCTGTCACTCATTCAAGAGAGTGACCGAGATCTTTCACGCCAGTTATTATAAAAACTACGAAGGGCCCCCCATTTCTCTGGCACTTCTCCACAATTGCTGCTATGCAGCAGGCCTCTCTGGAAGAGGAAGTCCAGGTTAACCATTTTCATGGAAGGACTTCGTTCTTTAGGACATAATTATTTCGTGTCGAGCCTTCGACTTTTATAGAAGCCGTGAACATAGAGTTTAACGCTCAAATCTGTTAGCTATGTTCTACCATGGTACAATCAAAATGCATCTTACAGGTCCGAACTCATGACGCTCAGCCATGCTGAGGAAAGCTAAGCTTCAAGCCGCAGAGCAGCAAAGTAACATCCTAGATGTTACATGTGCGGAAGCACAAGGCACCTCCGCCCTAGCTGTCCGTTGCGAAAGCAACGTCAGAAATCGTCAGAGCCGTAACCCTTATCTTATCCAAAGGTAAGCACGGCAGGGGGAAACGTCATCTTCCAGTAGGTGCGGGGCGCCCTACTGGGAAATAACTACGTTCTGTTGAACCTTTAGGAGGTAAAGGTAAGCATGGATTAGCTCCAGGTGGTTCTGTGGATGCTTCCATGAAGCAGGAATACCAAACAGGCTTGTTGGTTTTGTCGTTAACCATTAGAGGTTTTGAAAAGCCATGGTGAATTTTAATTGACTCAGGGGCTTCGGGTATTTATGTCCAACTTCGTTCCCTCAAAGGGAGTCAGCTGTACGCTGAGGAGCTAGTAGCGCAAGACGTGAACAACCGTGAGGTCTAACGTTCGCTAAAGCACTACCCGCAAAGGAAAAAGGTGTCGAATGACATTCTATGGGAGCGTCAGTCTGGTGGGGGAGAGTGTTATGGGGATACAAGACGGTTGTAACATCCTACCGAAGTGCAGTACGTTTGAAGCTCTATATTGCATGTAATGTATGTTTAATACCGATCCTTATTAAAAAGGGGTATTATAGATGAGTGATATTATAAGGTATCAGTAATAATTTATACTATCGGTATCAATTTCATAATTGATACAGTAGTACTAATTACAACATACACTGATGATTGAATGATTCCATATCCAGATACAAGCAATGGCATATTATAATTATTATAATTGCAGGGTAGGGTACTTAGAGTAGACTAAATCTTAATGCATAAATAAAATCAGTACTCATTTTGAGTCGTAGAGATAAAGCCGGTATTGGCTTGTTTCTCTTGTGCACTTCGTGAGTTGGTTCCTCGAACCTTTAAGCTGTTAGCTTGTTCTTGCACTCTGCTTGTCAGAACCCTTAAGCTTATTGCTTGTAGACTAAGGTCCTCCCAGTTCCGTAGAACGGGTAGACTTCGTAGTCGTTTGATTAGTTCCTTAGAACTAAGTGGCTTTAAGCCGTAACTTTATTTGTTCTATAGAACTAACAGGCATTTAGCCTTCAAAGTCTTCTCTGACTAAAGAGCTATGTAGCTCCGCTACACATCTGACTCCACCACCCTTTCAAAACGAAATCAAAAATTAAAGTCAGGAAATAAAATTAAATCCATCACCCATCACTTTTAATTTGACACACATTATTTGATGGAAGGCAGTCAGAACTTGTCCATCACTTCAATGGTCAGTGCTAGCTCGGTTACTCGGTCACACAAAATGCAAAGAGTATAGTGTCAGGCACTTCTGCTAATATAAAATTCTTGAGTTGACAATCATTTCACATTGAAAAAAACAGCCAGAAAGGGCCAGGATTCGCCAAAGCAAGTAAGCAAGATGGCACAAGCGCAGCAAATGTCCAAAAACTATAAGTATATTGAGGGCACCTATACCTCCAATTTGATCCGACACCAAATATATAAAAAGGACCAATATCGCTTCCGCTAGTCCGCATCTACTTTCCATGTTGGAGACGTAGAGTGTAAATGTTTTTAGTACCAGTTTTCACAATGTTTTGTTCTTCCTTCCATATTGTTTTGTCTGTACACTGTAGTAAAATTATATCTGTTAGTCCGCAACTCTACCTGTACTTTGAAGTGTCAAGATTTGCATAGTAACATTCCTAAATGTCCTGCTAGTTTCTAGTAGTCCGAGTCCCAGTCATTGTATCGGTCGTACGGCTGAGATAACAATGAGTTGTTCGTCGCTCCGCCTAAGAATTGTAGGAGGGGACCAATGGTTACAATTGGAGAACTTAACGCAGGAGATGTAGTCGCTCTCGAGCCTTGGGCGGAATTGCCACCAACACCTATACCATGAGCCGTGTTTGCCGAGGTCGACGGTAGAGCGTTAATCGCTCTTTGTATCAAGGAAATTTGCGCAACCCTCGATAGCGTAGTGTTGGCTGTAGAGGTTGACGCCGAGACATTTCTCGAAACCATGCGTTGAGGTGCTTGAGATGAGACAGTTGGTGTGGACAAGCTACTTGAGCCCGAGTGAGTCGTCGTCCTTGAAGATTGCCGATGAGGAGTATCCGCCCTAGCGTGGACGCTGTCATTTGGTCGGGCTGACGTCATCAATTCACGGTCACGATCGGATCCTTCTTCCACCGCTAACCTTCCTGTCGTGGAGCTCGTTACAGTATATTCTGGCAAATCCAGCAGCTCCGTGCTGTGGAGCTCCACCAAATTTGCAATGTCCCGGTTTTCACAAACCGTAATTGTGTACGAGCGACAAACTGGGCATTGGTGATTCTGCCCCAGTGCTCGTTTTAACGCATCGGATGAGAAGGTCTTTCCACAACATGTAGTAATGACCGGATCCTCAAACAAATCCAACGAAATTGGGCACGTAAGCGCTGCTTCTCTGTCGACCCAATTCTGTTGGATGATCTCCCGTTGAGTAGCGAGTGCGTCATCTACTTCTTCCATAAGATTCTCTCGTTCTGCATCAAAGTCAGTCTCCATCTCTTTCAAACGCCGACTTAATTCTTCATTAGAGGATTTGACAGCACTTGTTGTCCCAGCATGAGTGTAGTGAACAAATTGTCCTTGCTCTCGGTCATAAGCCTCGAGCAATTCCCGCAATTGTGGTAACACCCTCCTAAGTGACGAGCCCAATTCTCCCTGAGCACTTGAACGGACCGCTTGCTGCTCCTGTAAACGCGTTCGTTCACGGTCAAATACTGCTTTTTGATCTTGCAGCTGTTTCTTGAGTCTTTCAATAATCGATTGTTGGTTTTCATACGTTTCTTGGTCGAACCTTTCTCCCCATTCACGCGATCTCTGCTGTCTTGTAATAAACTGATTCAAACGCTTGATTGTCTCGTTCTTGCGTCGAAGAACTTGCTGTGTCTCATGTGCTGGATTGCGGTCCCGATAGTGTTGATTAAGAAGCGATCCGAGTTCAAATAGAACAGACTTGGAATCTTCTGCTAGAGTCACAAATAGCTCCTGGTCCTGCAAGTACTCGTCTCGTCGTGCTGCCATGGCGTATACTTGATTCTTTTCTATTGGTTGTCTAAACAATTTGTATTATTTTTTTCAGCAGTATGAGTGAGCATAATTATATTATAGCTACCGTGTCCACATTAAATATATGTGTAGTACAGTCATGATAATATTACTGATAAATAGTCTTTTATAGTAGTAAAAGACGAAGTCGCCGCCTTCGGACAACATTTTTCTGCTTGTCGTGTCTCTTTTTGGCGGGAGGAGCTAAACTTTCCCGCGGTCACATTTTTGAAATTTGTTTTTGATTCCACCAATCAGCGGCTTTGGCGCGTCAATGACACTTGCTTTGAATCTCCCTGGACATGTCCATTGTTCAGTTCGTCACTGTCGATATTTCACAATGGCAGCCCAGGACACGATGAGTCCGATCCATTGCAAAGCCCAAAAGCTGCCACCACTCACACCTGGCAGCGTCCCCATCGTCGGAACTTTCAGTATCCAACCGAGTCCCAATCGTACAGAAGCTGCAGCTGCTATGATGCATCTACTTACAGGCAATACCAACCAAGAGAATAAAATGTGTGCAGCTTTTAAGCCTAAAGCAAAGTCGAGATACGTACGTAGAGCTCCGAAAAAGGTGGGGACGTCAGCGAAGAGACAGATTAAAACAGCGTGGATGGACGCGGACACAGCGGGAATGGGACATATTCCAGTCAAAATCGATGCCGATCAAGGTTCAAAGATGTTGAAAGAGGGCGAGAGAAGCGCCAAGAACGAGGACTTGAGAATGGATGGGAACAAAGTCACGTTCTTTCCTTTTCGAGAGTACAATCGGAAGGAAAAGTCGCTTGGACTGCTTTGTGAAAAGTACGTGAAGGAGAGATAGAACAGTACAGAGAGGGATACTGAGAGATGGTGATTGTTGCTGTTGCTTTTGTATGTAGTTTTCTCAAGCTGCACTGCGATAACAAAATCTCAGAAATCTGTCTTGATCGAGCAGCTACAGAGCTGGGGGTTGAGAGAAGGCGGATCTATGATATTGTAAATATTCTAGAGAGTATTCACCTTGTGAGTCGAAAGAGTAAGAACCTGTACAATTGGCACGGATTAGTAGCACTTCCAACATCCGTTAACGAGATGAAGGTAGGTCGGTAGTGTTTATCTATAGCGTTTCTGTCACATGTGTTTTACTGAATATGCACCTGGATATATTGGTTGTAAAGCAACGATATGCTGAAGTACAACAATCGTTACCAACTGGTTCGAGTAAAACAGAGTGTCCACCTTTTAGAAGTAAGTTGGATCGTAAAGGTTTTGGATCAAACAAGGAGCTCATGACACATTATTGTCGTGTACAGGTGACAGACGGAGAGGCAAATCACTATCAAAGTTGAGTCAAATGTTTGTCCAGCTCTTCTTGGAAAAGGTACGTCATTTCAAGTAGACTTTCACACTGATCGTGGCTAACACTTATTACATTTGTATCCGTAGGAGGACTGCATAATCCCGCTGGATCAAGCTGCCAAGCAGCTCATTCAAATGGAAGACAGCGAAAATGTAGAGGATCGTCTTTTGAAAAGTACGTTGCGTCACTGTTGTTCATTTATATTGCTGCTAGATTAATGGATGTCTCGTCACAACAGCCAAAATTCGCCGACTGTACGACGTAGCCAATGTCTTGGTTAGCGTTGGGTTGATCGAAAAGTTGCAGCTATCCAGCTCCCGAAAGCCTTTATTTCGGTGGAAAACGCGTAGCACAGCATCAATCCCTACGACACCAAAAGCTAGTGCGTGCAACGTTAATGGAGATGAGACCAAGCCTTCCCAGCCTCTTACCGACGCCGCTGATTACGTGAAGACCGAAGTGATGTCTTCCTGTGTCGAAGGTGACAATACTGACGCCATGAAATCTCCTGAGACGTGCAATAGTGACATGTCTGACGATAGCAGTGACTCTCAATCCGATGCCAGTAGCTGCGGCTCGAAGCGAAAGCAAAACGATCAAGGTCGGAGTGACGTAAAAACCATGCCGGACAGCGAGTCATTAACCAAGCGTAACCGGCCTAGCGAAGGACAAGAGGACATGGACATTGTCTCTATTCCAACAATTGGTGAGAAAAGCTTGGGCTTGCTTCGAATGGATGCAAATGATGAACCCATTCATCCCCAGACCATTTTCCGTGAACAGCAAGAACAAGTGAAGCTCTACATGCAGCAGTACATTCATGAGTACGTCAATTTCTTGGCTGAACACGAGAGACTGCCGATTTTCAACGACGGAGCAGAAAGAAGAGACAATTTGACGACTGCCTCTGCTTTCAAAACTGAAGCTATTGCTGCCATCTCAAAAGACATTCATGGTACCCCCGTGAGTCTTCCGTCTCTTGCTGGAAGTATCCAAGATTTGCTTTTGTCAGAGTCAAGTCCTCAATCTGTAGCCGAGTTCCTTGCAGCTCAACCTTCGACCACCCCGGACCCACCCATCACGACCGTTTCTGGTACTCGGAAGTAGAGACAATTGCAAGACCGCTTAGTCACAAGGTTTTGCAAGAGATACAGCAATGACTTTTGTCATGAATGCTTCGTTATGTGCTGGATCGACCTCATTCAAATGTAACGGCCGCAGTGACAAAAACGAGGACAAAACGATACGCGGAATCTCGATTTCGTTCTTCAATTGAGCTCAATATTGTAGGAATATTTATGTAGTTTTTTTGAGCTCTTAGTGACGATATCCGCAGACGTAATATATACTATAATTGATGTGTGAAATTTATCTGCCTGTACATGTTATCGGTAATTTATGTTATGAGTGTTGGTGAAAAATTCATCGACAAAATGTCATATACATATTAGTAGTAGTAGTGCTATTATTTATACAAATATATAGTAGTAGTGATATTATCTATAGTGTAACTATTATTAATACCGAAGTCATGGGCAGTTCACAAGATGAGATCCGGCGGTTAATGAAGGAAGCCAAGCACAAGCCTAATGCGACTGCATCACGTCAAAAGAGTGATTCATCTATCATTGCAAAGCCACCTACAGCAAAATCTGCCGTCCCGCAGAAATCCGTGATCCCCATTGGTTTTTTCGATGACGCGTTGGCCGATGCCAAGGCCCGTCATGTCGACGTACAACAATTAGCAAAGAAGCAGCTGGAGACGGAATGGGAAGCGTTTCAGGAATTCGCAGCGGAGGTTGAGAAACAGTCGATCAAAGAAGAAAAGGTACAAGTGAATGAGACGAAAGAACGCGAAGCGGTTGAACAACTCGAGAATTTGAAGTACGTGGACAGATATCGTATGATTCTTGAACGTGTGACGTGTCTCCGTAATGGAGAGAAGAGAAAAGCACATGATGATGTGGTTGATGACGACGAAGAGGAAGATGACTCGAGTGCAGCTGTCATGGCAATGAATGAGTACAAGAAGAAGCAGAAGAAACTAAAAAAGCAGCAGCAGCAGTCAATCAGTGAAGAATCGGATGACTTGGATCTGTGCAACTGGAGATCTCGAGGCATGTAATAGCAAACGGACGGATACATTGACCTTCTCTGCAAGCAATACGTAGACACATGATGTAGTTGCTGGTCAAACATGTTAAGAAAAAAAGGTTTAGTGCTTTCTAGCTCTCTTGTCTAACAACGTGACAGCTCTTAAACGAGGTTCACGATCGCATACAGAATGACGCCGCACCCGATCATTAACACGGGAGTGTCCATCGTGTGTGGAGCAGTAGCCTCCGCGTACGCCATTGTCGGCGCCAAAATCAACATGGATAGCAAAACTTGCCAGAAATTATCGAAAGCCGCGTACTGAAGTGCAGGGAAGACGAGACCAGACAGGAAAACACACGCACTGCCTTCCCAGCTACGCGTGTACTTGTTCCTGGAAAAGCAGCTGCGTGTCTTATACTTGTGGCGTCCCCACGTGATCCCCACAGGCTCAGCTAGACCATCACCAATGCCCGTAATGAACACAAGAATAAACGTCAGTGCTCCTTGAGCAGCAAAGAGCCACTTGAAGAACATGAGAATGAACATGCCCGGTGCAATGTTGCCTACAATGATCCACTTGAGCGTGTTAGGACGGTCTTCTGGACGGTCCAGGGAATTGAACTGCAGCATAAAAAACTTGGAATGTTCACGAATTGGTTTGATAAGAACGAGGAAGCCGAGCATTGTAAAGAAATCACCCCAGGCCAGAGCAATTGGGCCATGGTAGTTCGACTTGATAACCAATGGCACCATGTACGCTGCAAAATGCTGGAGTTTCCTCGTGTAATTGACCTTGAATTTCGATGACTTGTTTGTCATAATGTAACCCTTTTCGTCAACATCACAGAAACAACGACAGATGATTCCTCCAATAAGAGACACAACCATCATGACGACGAGTTTGGGCAATTGCATGAGCCAAAAATGAGATTCTAGTAGCCATTGGGGCTCGTAAAAGAAGGTTAAGACCAGCATTACACTGCCATAAATGGCCATGCCTACAAGGAACGCAATGTCAAAGGTATTGTACCAGTGTTCCTCATAGTCTCCAGCCACTTCTCCTTCTTCAACCAGCGACGTTTTTTTGGCGGTAATGGGGCGCAATGATTCACCAGTAGCGCCGTAGGAAGGCGCATTTGAACGGACAGGAAGAGGCGTGGGAACACGCCACACGAGTCGAAGCATGACGTAGCACAGCACGAGTGCCATAAAGGGCAGGACGGCGAGGACGATGCCTTCAGTGGTCGTCATGTTTTCAGGCCACTCGAGAGGTGCTACTATAGGTGTGGGTGTAGCCATGGGCTTAACAGGAAGTGCATCTGCCATGATGACAGAAATGAATTTCTCTTGATCTTTGTATTGCTGTGGTCCTTGTGCGTCGAACCGAGCAAATTGAGATGTGACGTCCAATGTGAAATGGCGGGTGATGCTACCGATCTTGGATATTTACGTGAAACACCTTGTAAACGTAGATAGTATAGACATGGTATAGTGAAAATGATACTTAATGGAGACGAAGGACCGTTTTAATTCAACGTGGCGGATCTTCTTGCAAAATCGTTGGTGGACCACCAAGTGCTGGCCGTTTTTCACACCGCAAAATAATCAAGGCACATGACATTAGTGGCTAGTGGCACAAAACTTACATCACCGTATTTTTGTCATTTGCGTCATCTACAAAAAAATCCAGTATTTATTTTTAAGCGCATACAGTCGTTTATATGCACTCTACAATTAAAATCAGATCTCGTTGCTGAGACATGCACGTGCCCGTGACTTTTAGTTAAAATATTAATTATAATCATAGATTTTTATCAATATTGCAAAACACCGAAAATGTTTATCTATAATTGCGATCACCTGGTTTTTTTTTTGATTTTTTACAAAAACTGTTAGGTACGTTTTTATAAGTTTTTTTTTACTTAGCAGTCCATCGTCTTCCAGCCTGTCATGTCGTTTATGACGCAGCGTCTCGTTCGCTGTGCCTTATCTTCTAACCATCATCAGCTGATACTGCGCCATTTTACCAGTACATCATCTGCTGCTGGCTTTTCATACCCAGGCGCACGTTCTCTAGAACAAATTGTCAAGCTGGAGCTACTAAAGAACGAGTCGAGACGGCAAATTTGCCGTATCTGGGAGGATTTTCACGTTAATAAGGACGATGCAATCGCTACTACTTTGACAGCCAATGAGTTTTATTCTTTAGTAAAGCGTGCTGCAGTAGCACCTTATTTTATCGTTCCAGTCTACCGACAAGAAGGATTTTTCAACATGTTGTGTCAATTCCAACAGTCGTGCTTTTTGGTCACGTACTTGGATGCATTTAAAGAAAATCCCAATGCTGCACCACCTTGTGTTGTCATTTCATTGTATGATAATTTGGTAGCAGAAAAGAATTTGACTTTGGTTCGTGCTGATGTTATTAACATGTTGGACAAGAAAGAGTCGCAGCTTTTGCTCCAGCAATTGCTGATTAGTTACCAACACGACAAACTCTATCATCACGTCGACAAGTTTAACAATACGCCGGATCAATTTGATTTTGAAGCTTATCGTTTACTGCTCAAGGACATCTCGGAGTCTGTAATGGAGGAATAGATAAGACAACCAATTACTTGCTGAGTAGCCGATGCATATGTTAAACAAAATGTATCTGTCTTAAAAAACCACATCACTCACTCGTGTCTCTCTCTCAGCATTGTCTGGTGCTAGCTATCATAGCAGCTATAGATGACAGAAAACTATCGTCTACTGCTGCAGCTGCTCCCTCATTCCTGGACCTTTTGAGCCTGGGCCTCCTTTCTCTTGACGTGCTCCGCCTGGAAAAGAACCAAAGCCTGTTGCATCGTACTGTCAGCTTCAAGTCCCAAAGCCTGGTACTCGGGACCGTGTGCTTGAGCAAAACCCTGCAGCGAGCCCAGGAAAAACTCCACCTCGTCCACTTCGTCCAGCAGGCTAATGTAATCATCATCGCCCTCATCATCATAGCTGAACTGACCGCCCGCCTCCTCACGTAGCTGACGCAAAATGGCGTAATACTGGTCGTCCACCACGTCCTCGGCGTCTTCATTCGAGGCGTAGCCGCCATTCTCCAGCAACTCCTCGAGCTGCTCACCTTCTTCCTCCTCTGCCTCCTCGCCACCTTCCAAGATGCCTGCAGGCGGGTTCTGGATAGACTCGGCAAGTACCTTCATGGCGGCCTGGATCAGCTGCTTAATGTGAGGGCCCAGGGCAGCCGGGATCTTGTCAGCAGGCGCACGCAGAATCGACATTGCGCCCAGTACGAAAAGCTTTCGATCCAGGTGGTTGTCGTACCGGGACAGGTCACTCAGCCAGATTTTCAGAACGCCGTCAGCAGCACCGAGGGAATTAAGAGCATCAAGGGTGAGCGCTGGGTTATAGTGCAGCAGACTGCCGAACACACCGAGCAAGTTGCGCGCGGTGGAGTCCACAAGCGGCTCCGCCAGCTTCGTGCACACCATTTGCGTGATGGGAGGAATGCACTCATCCACTTTACCGAACAGGTTGTGCAGTAGCGAGTACAACAGCCGGCAAGCAGCACACAGGTCGATCTCCTGCACGCTCTTGCTCTCGAACACGGTCTTGGCCATGTTGAATACCAGCTCCAGATAACGCACGTTCGCTCCAGTGGCAGGGTCAGCAACAAAGCCCGACAGGAAACCGTCGGTGTCGCGACCCACAAAGTTATCAATTACCGGGACAAAGTTCGTCAGATAATCAGACGCCCAATCGTTGAAGCTCACAAAGATGAGTGGGAAGAGTTCCCAAAGCTGTGGCGCGATCTTGTGGCTGTAGAAGGCTAGCGAGCCCAAGATATCAATCCCGCTCTCCATGTACTCGACGTAGTCGAAGTCTGTGAGAATCTTATGGATGACCGGCGCCAGCGCAGGTACCAGCAAAGCATATAGCTCTGGATGGTTGTGGATGCTCATGAGGATTGTGTTAATCGCATCCAGGCACGACACCGCAGCAAGTGAGGCATCTTCGTCTTCCTCGGCAACAGCGGTGAACTGGCCAAAGAACTCCACGAACTTGGCCACCAGCTGCAATGAAAACGGACCGATCTCTGATGAGAATCTGTCAATAATGTGTTCGAGAGCAACGACAACCTCATCGTTACCAATCTCGTCCATTAGGCTAAAAAACTGCTCCAAAATCTGGGGAAGACGCGGACGAAGCACCTCTACAACGGTGTTCGAATGCGGATACATCACAACAAAACGAATCGTCTTGGCGGCCTCGATACGTACGGGTAGCTCCGGGTCAAACATAGCGTCTAGCATTCCGTTGACGATGCTGATCAATGTCTGCTCATCCTTAAACTTGATGCTTTCAATGTACTTACGCGAAAAGATCTTACAAGCACGCAGGCGAAGGAAGCCGTGTGGGTTCTTAAACTCCGGCAGGATGTGCGTAATGATCATGGACTCGACCTGGTCCTTGTGTGCCTTTGACTTGGTCAGCACACCGTCCAGTGAGAATATAGCGTGCAGAGCTGCATCCTTCTGAATGTAGTCTTTCTTGTCATCCGGAGCAGCAATGTACGTGTTCAGGGTATTGTTGTAAAAAGACAGCACGTTCGGCAAACAATCCTTGCCACGCTTTGTGCACAGGTCGGCCAACAGGTTCGCCGCGGCGTACACGGGATCCAGAAAGTCCTCGAACACATCGTTCGTTTTGCGTACAAATTCGTGCGGGTCTTCGGCCCATAGCTGCAGATCCTTCGGAGTCAGACACAGTACTGGGTGGATAACCTCAAACAGCAAAAAGCCAAGATGGGGCTTAATCAGCTTGTACGTGACAGACGAGTCAACTGCTTCCTGTAGGAACACAAAAGCCAATTGCACCACGCGATCTGTGCAGAAGCGTCCATTCTTGCGCAACGCAAGGGTCTCGAGCACACACGGGAGGATCTCTGGGGCAATTTGGTTGCGGAACATAGTGCTCATCTGCAGGTACTCTTCCTCAGCCTTTTTGGGGTTGCCATAGCGCGTGTAGAACCGGCAGAGAATCTGCATCGCCCACTTCTTCAGTTTCCACCATGCCCAATTACCACGTTCTTCCTCATCCGTAGGTTGTCCAGCAGGTTCACCATTCTCACTAGCTTCAGGTAGTGGCTTGGCAATCACCATGCGAAAGATATTCATCCAGGCCACAACTTGCTCAGTCTGTGCAATGTGCGGAGGCAAGTTTGTCTTGACACACGACCAATATGTCTTCAAAATAAGGTGCATCATTTGTGCTGCTTCAATTGAATTGTTGGTCTGCATCTGTATCATCATATTCTGCAGCATAGGGAAAACGACCTCCACAAGCTTAAAGAGTGGGGCTAGCCGATCCTCCGAGCGATACTCAAAATTCTTCACTACACGCCGTAGCGCCAATAGTGCGTTAATAATACGACTGGCATCACCACTTTGAATATTCTTGCAGATATCGTCGATAAGTGTTGGCCACGTCTCCTGCAATGATTGCAGCAAAACATAAACAATTAAAATCTCATCATTTTGGTATCCAGAGCTCTCAAAAGATACGATTCAACGTACAGGAAAATCAAAGCGTGCAATGTGCGCGACAGTCTCGGCTAATAACAACCGAATACTCAGATCCTGTGACACCAAAAGCGCCTCGAGGCCGTTCTGACGGCCTAGTACTTTATCCGCGGGGCTAATAACTTGATTCCATTGTCCTTCCGGGCCACTAGTGCCTTCCCAATACTTATGTACTAAGTTCTTAAGCGATACGGCGGCTGCTTGGCGGATTTCGCGTGTTACGTTGACCTCGACAGTGATCTGAATGAGGAGCTGCACTGAGCCGGGGACGGTGTGTAAACCTGCAACAGCATCCTCTGCAGCTTTACGCGCCGTATCGTCGTTACTAAATGTGTGCAGTAAAATGTTGTGTAGACTCACCACGTCCATAATTGCTACCGATAAGAGAGCGATTCAACGACTTGGCGGCTTTAGGTCTGATGAATGGTAGCCATTTAGAGGGTTACGATCCCCGAAAAGGTACGAAATGTGTACAAACAATCGGACTTAGGTTATATCAATGAAATTGACTGGCTGAGAGCTCGTCCTGGGCTGTGTAACCTTGTTTGATGGCTTCACTATTTCTTTCGTGGATACACGATATAGTTTTGACATGTACATACCCATTGATTAATGGATAGGAATTGATGACATCAAGTAACTCATTTGACATCGCGAAGAATTGCTCTACACGTCTATACATGCACATCCAATAAAGGCCATAAGAAAAAATCACAAACGTATCATGTAGCAGGCGAATCGTAAATATATGTAACCTTCAACTACGAAGATGTAAACTAAATCTCACCACTAAAATGCAAGAGCTAAGCACAGTCAGCCACTATCCAGCAAAAAACTTAGTCCACCTCTTCCATCGTGCTCTCCTCCTCATCCTCACCCTCAAGCGGAGGCAAGTCCTCCATCGTTTCGTCGGCGACATCGTCATCGTCGTCAATGCTCAAACCGAGCTTAATGAGACGGTGAATGCGGTTGGCGAACGTCGTGGGTTCGTCCAGGCTGAAACCCGACGTTAACAGTGACGTGTCGTACAACAACCAGATCAAGTCCTTCACCGTCTTGTCGCTCTTGTCGGCCTCAGCCTTCTCACGCAGCGACTTAATGATCGGGTGCAACGGGTTAATCTCCATCGTCTTCTTGGACGACATGTAGGACGACGTGCTGCTGTCGCGCAGGGCCTGCGCCTTCATAATACGCTCCATGTTGGCCGACCAGCCGTACTCACCCGTCACCAGCACACACGGCGACTCGACGATACGGTTTGAGATCTCGACCTTCTCCACCTTGTCGTCAAGGACCTCCTTAATGAGCTTGCACAGACCCTCAGTGGCAGCCTTCGCCTCCTCGAACGACTTCTTCTCGTCCTCCGTCTCCTCCATCTTGAGGCCTTCCTTGGTGGCGCAGATAAGCTTCTTACCCTCGTACTCCTTCAACTGCTGCACGGCGTACTCGTCGATGGCCTCTACCATGAACAGCACCTCGTATCCCTTTTTCTTGAGCTTCTCAATAAACGGCGAGTTTTCGACCGACTTTTTGCTCTCGCCCGTCACGTAGTAAATACCAGGCTGATTGTCCGGCATGCGCGAAATGTAGTCGTCCAAAGACGTCGTCTCTTCGCCAGACTTGGTCGAGTAGTAACGCAGCAGCTTGGCAATCTTCGTGCGGTTCGTCGAGTCTTCGTGAATGCCCAGCTTCAGGTTCTTGCTAAAGGCCTCATAGAACTTGTTGTACTTCTCATTGTCCTCAGCAAGCTCCGCAAACATCTCGAGGCACTTCTTGACCAAGTTCTTCTTAATCACACGCAATATCTTGTTCTGCTGCAACGTCTCACGCGAAATGTTCAGCGGCAAGTCCTCCGAGTCAACGACACCCTTGACGAACGACAGGTACTCAGGCATGAGGTCTTCGCAGTTGTCCATGATGAACACGCGACGCACATACAATTTAATGTTGTTCACTTTCTTCTTGGCACCGCCCTCAAACATGTCGAATGGCGCGCGCTTGGGGGTAAACAGACAAGCCTTAAATTCAAGCTGACCTTCCACCGAAAAGTGCTTCACAGCAGCGTGTTCCTCCCAGTCGTTGGTAAGCGACTTGTAGAACGAAGCGTATTCTTCGTGGGTCACGTCCTCAGGTTTACGCATCCAGATAGGTTTCTGGCTGTTCAAGTGGTCCCACTCGTGGGTCACTTCCTTAATCTTCTTCGTCTTCTTCTTCTTCTCACCTTCCTCCTCCTCGTCAACTTCCTCTACCTTGGGCTTGTCATCTTCACCCTCCTTCTCTTCTTCCTCCTCTTCATCGTCCGTCACTTCCTTCTCCTCCGTCTTCTCAACGTAAAGCTTGATAGGGAAGCCAATAAACTCCGAGTGTTTCTTCACCAAGTCTTTCAACTTGCGCTCTTCCAAATACTCCAGCATATCCTCCTTCAACTTCAATACAATGCGAGTACCACGTAGGATGGGCTCCGATGTGTCAGGCTTCACAGTGAATGATCCACCGGCAGCAGATTCCCACACGTACTGCTCGTCATCATTGTGCTTCGAGTGGACAACCACTTGGTCAGCCACGAGATAGGCAGAGTAAAACCCGACACCAAACTGACCAATCATACTGATGTCAGCACCGGCAGCCAATGCCTCCATGAAGGCCTTGGTACCCGACTTGGCGATCGTGCCCAAGTTATTAATAAGATCAGCCTTGGTCATACCAATACCAGAGTCTTGGATCGTCAGTGTACCATTGGCCTTGTCTGGAATGACCTTAATCTCAAGGTTCTTGTCCGTGTCGAGCACACTCGCATCAGTTAGTGACGAGTACCGGATCTTGTCAAGGGCATCTGATGCATTCGAGATAAGTTCACGAAGGAAAATGTCCTTGTTTGAGTAAAACGTGTTGATGATTAGACTCAGGAGCTGGTTAATGTCGGCCGAGAAAGCAAACGTTTCGGCTTCGGGGGCGCTCATGTTGCTTGTGTGTGTCTTTTATGTGGTTCTTGTGTAGGTTCTTGAGGTTTCGTTCCAACAGGGAAAATTTAAGAATGAGGCGTGATATGATACGAAAGGGGGTGCGGTCCAGCCAATTGACCAGGTACCGAAATTAAGTAGAAGACGATCTTTCTTGTTTTGGGGCGTCGACACGGAAGAGATCGAAACTTCCATCGATCGAGGGGCAAGGCGACATGATTGATTTATACTTCGAGTTAATAGATTGAGGAGGGAAGACGTGTCTAAAGTTTAGAATCTTCTAGATTGTGACAAGTCGGGTCAATCATCCTACACTGAGTTTGGCAGGTCGGTGGCATATAGAAATCAACATATCATAACGGGTCGGACAATATAAATTGCTGCATCAGGAACATGGCTGACGTTTCATTTTGGGCTGCTCTTATCAAGAGCGAATGTTCGAGACCTCCAGGGTGTTTTTTTACACACAATTCAAACAAATGATAATGGAAAAATATGGATGATGGTTCTTAGTATATTATGTAAAGAGGAATAAATGAATGTGTTTGTCACAACGTAGCACCTTTATACGTCCTTTTAAATATAAACCAAGTAGTGAGCTCACAACATCTCTGAATGGCTCGATCATTCAGAGATGTTGTGAGCTCATATGAATCGACAACTGCAACAAGTGTCGTTTCTCAAAAAGAAAAGCCGCATCGCCGCAGTGTCCCAACATGAGCAAAGGATTGTATCAAAGGCAGCTTCATGCGAGCAGCCTGCTTTTACATCTCAGTCTTACAGCTTTACAGCCTCCAAAATGAACGTGCTTGGCTTGGAACCGTCTTCTAGTTATTCCCTCTTAGGTTTTCAGCTCGAATCCTGCAAGCAGCCATAGTGTCGTCCTACTATCGATCGACTCGCTTGAAATCGCACTGATTCGACAAAGTTGCAGCAATGTCTTTGCATGTAAGTACATGGACACACCAGCTACAGGAGCTTCTATGCGCAACACTGCGGTCTGCTTGTGATAAGTTGCTTTGAGCCATTGAGTACTTTTTTGGATGAAGTGCATGAAGTGGACCGACGGTTGCGACTGCAACATAGAAACGATCACTCAGATCTGCAGGTCGGACTAATCATAATGAATACGTCTAGACAAGAAGTAAAGAGATATGCTAGTTATGGGCTCTGCAACTTCACTTTAACAAAGTTCGTCTCCTTCATTTACTAGTCGCCCTAGTACTTCATCCGTGCCAGTTGACAATTAAAATGAGCTCCAGAAGACGGTCATCACGCTTCCGATATATCATGTACTACATCATCCCATTTGGCAACCGCTACCATTTTCTGCACGCGTTAAAAGTCAGCAGCTCAATAAGCCTTTTACACGAGAGCTAGGGCTTGCAATGCCGCTAGCTCTCGTGCATGTGCGAGTTTTGCAACTCAATTGGGGGAAAAGTCGAGGCAAATTGATCCTATGCACATTATCGTCGATGGCAATGAGAAACTTGTAAAACCGTAACCAGGTTGTGAGTCTTTGTCCATACACGGAGCACTATGTCATTTCAAATCCGGCACCGGATGAGATGGACGTGAGCAACTTGGAGCGCAGCACCTTGTAGGATGAATATGTGGGCAGTTTGAGCGTGTTAAAACAGGTAGAGGAGCTTGGTAGCAACTCATCGTCACTTCGAATTGGGATCTTCTGCACGCAAAACTGGGGCGTGAGCGACGCAAACCCCAGCGACGGAGCTCGCTGGCAACTCGTTGTGAAGCGCAAAAACGCCGCCTGCTCAGAGGGCGTAAAGCTTGCCAGTGCTTGCCATAGCCATGCGACACGCTTATCTAAAGCATAGTAGCCGCCAGCGTAGCGGGAATTGGCCTTGAGATCATCGATGTCGATCTTGCCGCTCTTGCCCGAAATTAGCACTTGCAACTCGGGCTCGTTAAACATTTGAAGCCAGCGCGGATCGATGAGATCAGACATACCCATGCGAAAAGCTGAGCACTGTTCACGGATCTGGGTGTTGAGGTAGTAGTTTGCAACCAGGTGAATGTATCGCGTCTTGTTTTGACTCGTGACAGGTATATTGCCACCGTCTGGAATGATCTCAATCTCCTTCTGCTCACCAAATACGTCATGAACAACCGTGTGAGTCAAACCAAGATCCTCGACATCGCCATCGTATGACTTCAGAAACATTAGATTCTGCACAACGGAGATCACAACACGACATGTTAGTACCATCAAAGACTTTCACATATGCTGCATCACTAAGCTGACGTACCTTATAAATCTCGGGATCTAGTGATGGCAGTTCGTTTAACTGATTAAACGAATGCAGAAGCTTTGAAAGGAAGAAATGGGCAAATTTCGGCTGTACCAAGATGCCTTCATACAAAGCCTTTCCCAAGATCCGACCGACAAATTGAAACATCGTCAGGTGATCGCTCTCGCGCGTGAAAAGACTGGAAGCCGAGTTTGGGTTAGGATACAACAATTGGTCGTGTGTCGTTAGGAAAAGTCCGTACTGTAGATCAAATGCAAGAGTCGATAGATCCAACCAGAACTCTTTAAAGAGTCCTCCAGCATCAATACCCACTTCTTCGCGGCCAGCAGCGTTCACGAAGACCACATTGATTCGTTTCTTTAGGCTCGTCCTGATCGTGTTGAGTTTTCTCAAACCGTCTTCCAAGATAGCTCCACGACGAATACGGATGCGGTACACCGAGCAGCGGTCATTTTGATGAATTTCTTTATCTGCCTTGATCAGGCGCTGGAACAACTTGACCCTGTCAGGAAACGGTACGAGGTAAGGCATCGATTGGATCAGCTTGTTAGCTCGAGGTGTGCCGATCAATACTTCTTCGATCAGCTGATTACTATCAAGCTCTGCAATAATCCTACAATGGGCATAATCGTTTTGATATCAGTTACCACGCTTCGATACCGTCATCACTAATTTACGCGTAAGAGTTTCCTGCCAGCACCTACCAGCTCGTGACGTTGCAAAAAGGTTGGCGAGAGCATCGATTGTACAGTACTCTCATCAAACGGGTACCCATCTCAACGACAAACATACCGAATGAAACCGATTCTGAAGACGGAGCAAGGTTAGCGTATGTCCAATATGCTTCATGAAGCGCATGTTTCAGACTCAAAACAATACGCTCAATCTGGCAAAGAGGAAGCGGATACTCTTGTGCGTACATCTACATAGACATACAAGAACCAAACGATAAATTATCTGGAAAAGGAACTACATCGAGGGAAACTTGCTTACCTCCTCATCGTCCATTACAACCAGAAGATGCTCGTATGACATACAAAACAGCACCAGCATGCATACATACGGATCTGAGCTCCGCGCATGTATTAAATCTACATTCTGCCACAGACGGTGTTAATTTGTGCGAAAGATGCAATACCTGAACAATACAAATTCTACACAAGTACCTTGGTGAAGTCTTCAAAATTTTTGGTGTCTTGCAAAACACACCATAGCATGTGAACAAATGATACACTCTGGATCGTGTTCCCTGCACTTTCAACAACCTCGACATGATAGAAAGCTAATGTGTTCAATAGACGCATTGCGTAAGATTGCCGTTTCTCACCACCCAGTCCCCATCGAAAAAGGAATGTGCCACACAAACACGACAATGCCTCGATATTTTCGAAAATGAAGGGCTCAGAGCTTGATGCTAGCTTCAAAGCACCTGCTTGCTGAAGTGGTGTAGATTTTTTCAAACCATCAACATTATTTACGGCAATTTTTCGTGCCTCCTTGGAGGTATTTTGCAGCTGAGAAATTCCACCAGTCCCAGTATCCTCACCATTCTCTCGTCCACATCGTAGCCCAGTCTTTTCAAACAAACTTCGAGCCCAGGTCGATTTACCAATGGATTTTACCTTCTGCCACGTTACAGAAAGCGACAACGATATTGGCGACGTCGATGCGATATCACCAAAACCGAATTGTTCCTACTAGCAGAAAAACGTTAGAAGACGTGCCGTTATCAGGACTGAAAGGATGAAGTGGCACGTGACGTCGCTCTTACCGCAACTGTCGGCGCTTCAGGATACATTGCTGTTGGCCGTTGAGTTGCCAACGGGTGGCGAAGTGCACTCGGAGAAAACGAAAGGAGGTGGTTGCACATCGAACGCAGATAATGGTCGTTAACTAAAACTTGTAGCTGCTCGTTTAAAGCTTCTGGGAAGACCACGGGCACGGAATGAGACTCGGATACTTTCGTCCAGGTGACCGCTACACCTGATGCGGAATAAGTTGCGGGAGGGACGGATTGAAGCAGCTTCGAGAGCAGCCGGACTTCGCTTAGCACGATACTGTCGGGTTTATTCTCCACACTTTACATCAACAACTCGTCAGGTCTTCTTGTTCTCTGCATGCACATTCTGCAATACTACTACAAGCACTTACCGTTCAGAAATCCAAAGGATGTTGCCAAGAAACCAGGCTTCGGACGTAATACCCACTACAGGCGAAGCAGGAAAGTCAAACACGGACAAGTGCAGTCCTGCACTAAGCAGTCTGGCCCATAGTGACAAATTAGTAAGTTGGAGCAGCCGGTCTTCGGCAACCACTTGGTTCAAAAGAGGCACTGAAAAGACCTGCCACAAGCGAATATCACATAAATACAGCACTATCAGCATCCCTTTCCACTTACACAGTACAAGAGACCACTTACTTCCATTACGAACGCCTTAAGAATCCCACCAGTCGCCGTGAGAAGATGCACTACAAAATCCACCAGCGCGTTGCAATACACCGACGTCTTTGCACGGGACGAAATGGGGAGATGTCCTCGTGCAGATATCAATCCTTGCCGCACAATAAGCGTCACAGTAGTGTATGGTAATTCACTGTACAGCATTTTTCGAGCTTGTTGCATCGGATGAAAGAAAAGCAGTTGGCCAGACAGCAAATATCGCTGCATCTCAGGCAGCGCCCCTGTTAATGCCCGTACAGTCTTGAATCCCACCGAAATATCCACTATTGCAGAATTCAATGTGTTGCATTGTAGACACAAGTCAATGAGTCGCCGTAATTGCCACTCTCTCTGCTTCTCCATTATCTCTTTAACTCCATCCAAAGCACCAGCCAATGCATCTACAAAAAGCGAGCTCAACTTCAAAAGTCTTTCAGCATCTTCACCTCGCCCAGTATAAAAGTACAACACCAGACGTAATAACTGTAGCAGATAAAGAACCAGTTAGTTCTCTTGTCGACCTCGTCCCAAACTTCAAAAACTCAATTGTGGCAGCATTTCACCTCAAAAAGCACGTCATAAGGCAAGGCCAACGTAGGCTGTTGTACAATGACCTTTAAATTGGCAATATCGCTCACTTTCTGATCAAATTCCGCTCGTGTCTGAGTCCGCAAGTCTCGAGCAGCAAATCGTCCACGTATAAACGCCTGCAAACGCCACATCGCCATTTCCTGCTCCTTCAATCGACTTCTCGCTTCCCGCTTCTTTCTCGCTAGCTCCAGGACACGCACGCGGTCGTTTCGTCGGTTTCCATCACTACCACGAGTCAATTCATTGTCACGAAGGAACATAATCAACCTATGTCTCTGATACTGACAATGAAGAATGTTTCGATATTTATTTTCGACCAATTATATTGATTTAATGTGTAGCCATGTCCCAGCAGTTTCGCAAATTGCCAGGAAACAGTGATGCTGTTATTCAGAATCTTCGGAAGAATGCTGAAAAATTCTGTTTGGTAGTCTGAGAAATTAACTCAGCAGAAAAGACAACGAATGTGCATGGTTTATGCTGCCATATGGAAAACAGAAATTTTCTATAGGAAGGGACAGAGACAGACGGATCTGTGGATGAGAAGGATGAGGTAGCAAGCGATTGTTTTTACCGGTGGAAGCTGCCCATAATCATAATCTGCTGAGATTCCAGTAGTAGGTGATATTACGTTGTTTATTTATGCTTTATGCGAGCATATCGTAAAGCGTTGCATCGACTATTGTGTTGAGTAAAGAAAACGCATTATGTATCATTCCAATTTTTACGGATGACCACCGAAGTGGTTCCTGTATTATGTATCATGCTACGAAGTCAAACGCATGCGGTGCGTATTTTGTATGAAGATGCATAGTTTGTTCATAACAAGAGGGTTTACTATATACTACTACTACGTATGCAGAGAGTTTGCTGTCACGTATATGCGGAGCTGCTAATTGCTGTCTAAGGAGTATCCTCGAGCAACTTCCACATCGCAAGACCTTTACTACGATTGCAAGTGGTTACAATAAACAAAATTATCGCAGAAGTATGCCGATCTCATTCGATAATACGTAGCCATGTTCCGTTGCTATGTAGATAATTCTCTCCGTTTACACAAGATTCACAATTGCATACAGAATGACGCCGCACCCGATCATTAACACGGGAGTGTCCATCGTGTGTGGAGCCGTAGCCTCCGCGTACGCCATTGTCGGCGCCAAAATCAACATGGATAGCAAAACTTGCCAGAAATTGTCGAACGCAGCATACTGAAGCGCGGGGAATACCAGACCAGACATGAACACGCATGCGCTGCCTTCCCAGCTACGGATGTACTTGTTCTTCGAAAAGCAGCTGTATGCCTTATACTTGTGGCGTCCCCACGTGATCCCCACAGGTTCAGCTAGACCGTCACCAATGCCCGTGATGAATACAAGAATGAACGTCAGCGCTCCCTGCGCACCGAACAGCCACTTAAAGAACATGAGAATGAACATGCCTGGTGCAATGTTGCCTACAACGATCCACTTAAGCGTGTTAGGACGGTCTTCTGGACGGTCCAGGGAATTGAACTGCAGCATAAAGAAGTTGGAACATTCACGGATTGGTTTGATAAGAACCAGGAAGCCGAGCATTGTAAAGAAATCACCCCAGGCCAGCGCGATCAGGCCTTCGTAGTCTGACTTGATAACCAATGGCACCATGTACGCTGCAAAATGCTGGAGTTTCCTCGTGTAATTGACTTTAAACTTCGATGACTTGTTTGTCATAATGTAACCCTTCTCATCAACATCGCAGAAGTAGCGGCAGCTGATCCCTCCAACAAGAGACACAACCATCATGACGACGAGTTTTGGCAATAGCATGAGCCAAAAGTGCGACTTCAGCAACCATTGTGGCTCGTAAAAGTACGTCAGCACGAGCATCACATCGGCATACGCAATCATCCCCAACAGAAACGCGAAATCAAACGTGGCATACCAATTTTTCTCATAATTACCGGCAACCTCGCCTTCTTCGACCAGCGACGTCTTGTAACGACGCATCGGCTCTGTCGATTCCTCCCGAGATGAAACTGATCCATACGATGATAACATACGTTGCGGTAGCTCTGGAGATTTCGGCACCTTCCAAATGACACGCAACAGCACGTAGATCAATATTAAAGCGACCACTGGCACCATCACAAGTACAGCTCCTTCGACCACAGTCAATTCATTCTTTGGCTCGGGCACTGCTTTCTTCATGTTCATGTTTTCTCTTGAAAAAGACAAAACGAGGACAGCAATTGCCCTGCAAAGACGTTAATGGCCACGGTTTTCCCTCATGACTCAGCCTTGTCTATCGCTTCGTCCCACCTGGATTCTTTTTTTCGCTTTAGGTCCGCTTAAATGTCGCCTCCCAGCTTGTCTCAAACTTCATTAAATTTCGAGAATTTTTCCCAATATTTATAAAATCGAAAAGTCTAAGTTTATATCTGAGAGTCTCCCCCCGCTTGTATGCCCAATCTCGAAGCTGATAACAGAAGTAACTTTAACCACACCCCGCTTGTATGCCTAATTCTAAGTTTATACCATCATTCTAAAGTCTCCCTCGCTTATATGCCTGATTTTTGTAAGTTCATACCATCATTCTAGAAGTCTCCCCCGCTTGTATGCCCAATCTCGACGGAAGTGACTCGAAATGCTGCGCGGCGTGAATCAGATGGATGACGACGACGAGAGTTACAAAACGGACGATGAATTGCTGGACGACGAGGCGTTCGAGTGGCGTGCACAGCCAGGACAACATGCTCCGAATCAAACGCGCTGGAGACTGTTCATGGCGGCCGTCATGTTCGTAAGTCAAGTGTTTATGGAGCTGGGAAGGCGCTGTCTCAGTGTCTGCAGCCCAACGTACCGCATTGTGTACATCGATCGGTGGCTAGTGCAGACAATTCGTGTGTCTATGAGCTCGGGGAGGAAGATGAGCATGCTACGTTTGCTACTGGCATTGGGGCTGGCATTTGTATTGCCTTATCTTGTGCTAACAATTGGACGAATGCATTTTTCTACTGGTCGAGGAAGAAAAGTGAGGTAAGAGAAGTAACTGACTGACTGTAAGAAAGTATGAAGAGTCAAGTTAAAGTTTTATAGTGAGAAACGATGTGTGGTCTTTGTTGTTATCTGCAAGCGTGGAAGATTTAGATGACGACAAAATTCGGTCATGTACTCTTGTAGATCAAGTGGACACATTGGTGCCTGAGCGGCGTCAAATGTTTCTTCGTGAAGAATGTGATAGACTTCAAATGGACGAAACAGAGTTGAGGTGCGAGAATACAGTTCAAGGCGTGGATTTGCTTACAGACTCGATAGGTAAGCGGAGAATAATTACAAATGCATTGAGATAGAGTGGATCATGCTGAATTGTTTTTGCCGTGTAGGTTATGTGTGTACCCGATCTCAATTGGATTGATTAAAACTTGGCTGCTGTAACGAGACTGACGCTAGCCTTCCGCGAATAAAGCAACATACGTGCGATCGGTGCGACACGAACCCACCGCATTGCTGCGACGAATTCGAGCATTGCGTATTCTGCTGCATGCATCCACTTAATGTATGTCCAGCGTTTCTTTGCTAAGTCGGAGTCAACTGACCAGATAAAACTGATGTTTCTGCTATTGTCGATTGCTATCAGTCCAGTATTCGCCGGGACTTCTGAACCCACGCTGATCCGAATCATCCGATTTACAGTGATCTAGCTGCAATCACCGTGTTTTAGTACTGCCAATACCGCTGCCGCACCTCGTCTGCCAGCGTACAGCACCAAAAAGACGTACCGAAGGTGAGGATTGCTAGCGTAGTTGTTACGTCATACGTCATCCTGCAAACTGATCTATGGATTTTATTTTAGTACTTCAGTCACCGCTCGTTCTGTTATGGTATCCATCGACCACTGAAAGTCCTGCCGACGGTCAATAGCGACGGCCTCCACGACGAATGGTTCGTTATTGCATATGCTTTCAGTCAAAATCGGCTGGTGAGGATAATTTAATGTGTCTAACGTACAGCTCTGTTCACGAGCAGGAGTGGTGCGTCTCGAGAGGGTGCACGAGACCACCTGGTGCCGGCAAAGCAGCTTGTGTTGGATCCGTACTATCACGAATACGAGCTACCGGACTAAACGGCCGTCGGACCAACGTTTCGACAACTTGAGCTCATCGCTGATCTAGTTGATCCGCTAACGCAAAAGCGCTTTTTCCATGTACCAATTGCTCGTCGACAGCATGATGATGCTAAGCGTAGCTCTTGAACTTCAGCTGTAAATATTTTAATTTATGCAACTTGATGCCCACGTCAGGCTGGACTCAGCCAGTATGTACCGGATTCTTTTCTCTCCCTGCTGTGAGACAGCACTATATTATCACCATTTGCAAAAGGTTTAAAAGGTACGAATTAGTATCAATTATCGACCGTTAGCATTGCTTACTATGTGGAAAAAATCGAGGCTTTTTTAAATCAGACGAGACACAGTTGTGTCTCGTCTGCCTTCAACCAGAAGGTTGGACCATATGGATTGTGTGATTGGTATAGCAAGGGTATACTGTATGAGCGACCAAAAGTACTTGATGTGGACATGTTATACTATTTGATCTTACAGTTCATGTGCCTTTTCCCCTACTCATTGCAACCTTAGAGCACAGTCTGTGTTTACGCCAGAGCCATGCGCGTGTCTAAAGTCCCGCAAGTTTTCAATTCAGTCGCATTGCCATCGAACGGCTTCTAAGTTATTGCTCTTTAACTTCCAACAAATAATGATTCCACAATTGTCACACACTTTTTGTAGAGAAGACAGCGAAAAAAAAGGAAAGTTGTCGATGCTAGAAAACGACTTGGCTTTGCCCAACTCTTGTAGCAACAAAGTGTGGTATTCGACCGGGCTTATCCGGGCAAGAAAGAAAAAAAACCAACATTTCGAAGTTCGGTAGCCATACTTTAGGGTCCTATTGTTGTTGCCAAAACATAAATCCCTGCTAAAACCGATCAAATCTGTAAAACATGTCTCACGTTCGAAACGAAGAATATCATCTTTGCAAACTGAATTTCCCTTTCAAATCGTATTAAGATTCCAATGTGCGTGTTCGTTCACCCGTGACGCATCACCACTCTCAAGGTGTTTCTCGTGTATTTCTACGTGTTTGTTGCATCATCAAGTTCGACTTGGGGCTTATAATATAAGTAATCGTTCGCACGTATTCTCCCGCAGGTGCATCAGGGCCCATTTACAAAAACGCGGACTTTGAGAACACGAATCGGCTTGTCTGTTACGAAGCAATTGCCGTCGTCTAACCGCTCGATTTGTAGTCTAGCTTTTGTTCTCTCTCTCCTTTCTCTCTTTCTCTCTCTTTCTTCTCCTCCTCTCTCCCCTCCCCTCGTCTCTCGGTGTACGACGTGCCACATACTAAAAGTGAAAATGGCACCGTCCTTTATTTCGACGCTTATGGCTGATAAACGGAGTAATATTGAGTCAAATACAACTGCAACAATACGAGAAGCTTCGGGTGTGACACTACCGCACTTGATGCGAAGTCGTTCGTCTCGATCAAAGGGCTTACAGTATGGACTGCCTGGTTTCCAACGCACTCCTTTTGGGCAAACCCAGTCACGAGTCACATCAATGCCAGTGAATTCCTCCACCCATTGGAACGATCGACAAAAGACGCAGGACTTTTTTCGACATACTACTGACACCCCTGATGATGAAAAGGGCGAGAGTACGAAAAGTGACAGTGCTACGGAAGACAAGAAAGCAGTCCAGAGTGATGACAAGATGATTGATGTCCGAGAATTGGTAGCAAGAAATGCCGAGTCGTCCGAAACGTCGTCTACGTCTTCAGAGGAAAATCAACACGAGGAATTACAGGTACCAAGTCAAGGACGATTACAGAATGCTCTAGAGGATCTTTTAGCACGACAGCAGACTGAGGAGCAGCAAATGGATGAGGACTATGTGCTCTTTGAGAAAAGGAGGAGATACGACTCGTTCGATATCCTGGCAGACGTGCGAATTGATGATGAGGACAGTGATAGTCAGATGGAAGCGGTGGACTCGTTATACTCGACCCCGACAAGATCAAGAAAGAATAGTGAGGACTTTTTTGGTGGGGGACTGCTAGAAATGCTGTCTCAACGTCATATGCCTGTGGGTGTTGAACGACACGCTAGTGTAGCGGATATGCTCGTCAACCGCGCTTTTGTCACGTCAAATGAAGATTCAAATGAGGACGGGCAGGAGCATGAATCGACATTACTAAGACTAGAAGGGAGCTCTCGGGAAGTCACTAAGAATGGTACACTTCGGACAGAAACTTCCACGACGGATAGGAGTAACATGCTGGGTGAGTTGCTTGCAAAGCGAGCTGCTCCGTCAACGGATAGTGTTTGCTTGAACAAATCTCCAGCTATCAAGGACAACGCATTGGAAGCCATGCTGTCAAAACGAGCCGTCTCGTCACAGATGTCTCCCATTAAGGAGTCTCTTCAAACATCGAAAACCAATCCATTGGAGGCCATGCTTGCGAGGAGGAATGCGCCTTCGCCGCTTGCACCGTCGGCTGCACAAGACGAACCCAGCGGGGCTTCTCATCCGCTGTCTGCAATGTCGAAGGCGTGCCACCACAAGTCTATAGCTTCACTTGAGGCAGTGCCCCTAGGTAGTTCTGACAGCACCGAAAAAGACCAGACGCCTCTGAAGAACCATCCGGCATATCAAAAATACTTCAAGATGCTGGCAGTAGGGCTTCCAGTTTCTGTTGTAAAGCACAAGATGCAGAGTGAAAGTGTGGACCCGTCTATCCTGGACATGGATCCAAACAAACCCTTGCCCGAGGCTCCTGTGCCCGTCCTCGACGAAGAATCCGAGGCGGCGTATCAGGCACAGCTGAAGGAATATGAAGCGAAGCATGGTAAATATGAGCAAATGGTGAAGGTAGGCTTGCCTCCTTCGGTTGTAGAGCACAAGATGCGCATGGACGGTGTGGACCCGGCCTGGTTGCAAGGACCGCCGAATCGGCCGGAGCCGAAGGCTGCAGCTGCGACGGAGGTATCGGAGGAGGAGAGAGCTGCTCACCGTAAGAAATACCGCAAATACTTTCAGATGCTTCGTATGGGTTTGCCGCGCGGCGCTGTGGAGCAAAAGATGAGGATGGCTGGACTCGATCCGGCAGCACTGAACGGTCCACGTCCAGTGGCAACTCCTGCTGAGCAACCGAAAAAAGCACTAAAGCGCAAGAACTCTATTCGTAAGAAGCTGCACTGGGAAGGAAAGAAGAATGGAACACGCCGTGACAGTCTGTGGGGAAGTGACGCCATGGAAGAAGCGAAGGAGCAAGTTCAAATTTCGGAAGAGAGCCGCGCTATGCTTGAAAAGTTATTTGTCAAGGATTTATCCGATAGCAAGAAACGCAATGCCTCTGCAAAGGCTGAAGGTGCTGCTGTTGCCAAGAAGAAGAAGGCTATGGTCCAGCTCATTGACTCGAAGAAGTCGCAGAACATTGCCATTACTCTGGCGCGTGTGAAGCTAACGTATTCGGAGCTGAAGCGTGAGATTTTGATGATGAACTCAACTGTTCTGTCGTCTTCTCAAATGCGGTCTCTTATGGACATGTGGCCCGATCGAAAGGAGATGGAAGCCATAATGGCCTTTAAAGGTGACGTCGGAACAATCGGTACTGCTGAACAGTTTCTGGTTGAAGTGCGCAGTGTGCCTCGTTTTCAAGAAAAACTGGCATGTCTAGTATTCAAGCAGGAATTCCCCTCGCGGGTGCATGAGCTGCGCGAGTCATTGGACCTCGTGACACGAGGCGTGTATCAGGTGTGCTCAAGTGCTGAACTACGCCAATTATTTATTTATATTTTGCAGATTGGCAATCTGCTCAATTTCGGTGGTGACGACGAACAACAGGGCGTCGACGCTTTCTCATTGGGTTCCCTGGTCAAATTTTCGCAGACGAAGGCATTTGTGGGTGGTACCACATTTTTGCAATATGTAGTGCAGTCAATTGAACGGGACGTGCCCCACCTTGCGCACTTTTACAAGGACATCGACCTCCTTTCCAAGTGCAGCAAGGTGGCGTACGCGTCGCTTGCATCAGAGAAGAATGCGCTCGAGGCTGGTTTGCAAAAGGTTTTGCGAGAGGCAGAAGCCTCGTTGCCGGATGATGCTGCGAATGATGCCGACAAAGAGACGATGATGGCATATTACGGCACATTGATGCGGTTTTCTAAGAAGGCAAAGACCGAGTTGGATGGCCTTCAGGCCCTGCTGGACGAATTGGACGCGGCCAAGGCCCACTTCCTCAAGTATTTCGAAGAGGAGGATACCGAAGAGGAACTGGATGTGTTGCTTTCGCACATTGCTAACTTCACAAGTGAGTACTGCCGCGAGCACGATAAGTATCTGGCCAACATGACGAAGGACAAAACGAATCTGCAACCAAAACTCTCGTTGTCCAAGAACCCAGTGAACACAATCGAGCCCTAGAAGGAGACTAACGTGCCTCACGGTAAGACGCATCAAGGCGCCAAAGCTGCCGCAAAGACGGAATGCCCATCACAGCCATGACAAAGCAGCCCACGTCAATGCCTTTGCAGATCGATTATCCACAGCCGATTTGCAAAATATATCACGCTAGGGTGCTCCATCTGGAGTTCTCTCAAGACGACAACATGGATGAGGTTTCGTCCAGAGCGTTAATGTCATTTAGGACCAGTGTCGTCCTATCTGGCCATACTACAAGCTGTTCAAGTGATGTAAGTACTGTCAAAAAACCGTCGTAAACAAAAACCAATGCAAGTATAATGAAGTCGTGCTCCATCTCCACACCACTTGACAAAACAAACTTGACCACGACAACAGCCGGTGGGATAGTAGAAAGCTTGTCGCCATTGCTTAAAGAGCTTTCCACGAGATACAGAAGGGAAGAACAAAGAGTCAATACAGGATAACCCTGAGCTGTCGTCGATTGCTTGAGTCTATCTGTCTCAAATGTCTCCAGCTCGTATTCTTTGGCATTGATTGTATCATCCAAGTTTAATTAGTCTAGTCTACTCAATATTCTATGTATGTGCGGTGAGTGTCAAGTAATTGAGAGGTTTGCCTACACTTGGCAAAACCTTCGAGGCTGGAAAGAGTCGATAAATTTCAACGTGCTTGTCCTCACGAATATGCATGGTACACATGCCCTGGTTGCGAGATAGCTTCTTGCAGCCTTCGACCTTACACAGGCGACCACGACGGTGCACCTCGCAAAAACCTCCACCACGGTCCGTACGCACGCAGCCCTCAATTTTGCAGTTGCGAAAGCCACCATGAGTGGCACAAAAGTTGCCACGCTGAGCACCCTTTGGGCATCTCGACGCCTGGCAGCGCTTGCCACCACCGTGAGCACGGCAGAGTCCGCCACCCTGTGAGCTCTTGGTACAATTCAAGAACTTGCAGCGAGCACCGCCACCGTGAGCCTTACACAGACCGTGCGACTGTGCAGCCTTGGCACAGTCTACTTCCTTGCACTTCTTGCCACCACCGTGGCCGATACAAAAGTCGCCGTTCTGGCTTGACTTCTTGCAGCCTTCGATGCTGCACTTGCGGCCACCACCGTGAGTCTTACAGAAACCCTTGGAGCGCACACGACGCTCGCAGCCACTCACCTTGCAGGTAACCATGCATTTGGGTGACTTGATTGTCTTTGGACTCGAAAGAACGGTAGTCTGAGTAACTTGGTTCAGCTCCGACGACTGAAACATTATTTCCTGCTCAATCTCGGGCAGAAGGCGGTCCAGCGAATCAAAGGCTGACTCGATCTGCTGAATGTCTTGAGGCATGCCGTGGTGTGCAGACTTGAGGGTCGACGTGTTTCCAAACACGGCGTAGGCAAGAGGGTCTAGATTGTCAACAGTGATCTTGGTGTTGTTGTCGGTGAAGGCAAAGGCGATCGGCTCGACGTTCATGACCGAGGGTGACGAAACAAGTAAGGACTTTGTCATCCGCTGCTGCGTCAGGGTCGGGTACAGCAAAGGCTGTTGATAGCCCATGCTGATCTCAAGCAGGTGCTGCATTTCGTTCACGTGCACCTGACGAGGAGGCATTGTCCCGTTCATTGCCGGTTGGTATTCTTGTTGGTGCTGCATTACCGGAATGTAGCCGTGACTGTGATGCCGAGGAAGAGTTGGCGGTATTCCCATAGCAAACGACGTTGGTGGCTGCTGATGCTGCTCTTGCTGACAGCATTGAGTAGACAGCATTTGACGTCCAGGCATGGATGCGTGGCGGGTGAGCACTGTCGGAGGGCACGTAAAGCCGTACTGCTGCTGATGTCGCTGCAAGGTGAAGTGTTGCTGCGGTCGCGACCAGGCAGTGACGTCGCAAGCCATCGTGCCAATATTCTCGAGCAGCATGTCCGAGTATTGAGTCTGCTGAGCCATGGACGCTCGCTCAGTCTTGTTGACCATATTAATCGGCCGATGCTGGTTAGCGGCATCGCTGTCTTGTGCCCTATCAATGGACATGTCCGCTATTGCAAAATAATGAAGACTTTTATCAGTGATTGTGTCAAGCAGCTCGACTTTCCAACTGAGGTGTTGCTCGCTGGCAAAAAGAGCACGACTTCACCGTTTGGTTTCAACAAATCGCTTGCTACTGCACGGCTTGAAGTAGTTTCGAGGAGACCGGATGGGAGATCACTCTTGAGGATGTGAGAGCAGATGCACTTGGAAAGTGAGAGAATCCCTCTGCTTCGAGATCGACCGCAACTTTTTTATTGTCGTTTGGATGAGATCAGTCCAAATTGACAGCAATGGGAAAAGACAAGAAGTCACTTGGGACTCGTAGGAGTGAGCTGATGATGCGATCAATCGACACGAAAGATGTGTCGATGTGGGTGTGTTGTGACAGCGTTGAGACCGTAAATGTCGGCGCACAACGGAAGAGTGGGAATTGAAAATAGCATCTAAACTTATCCAGAAGCTCGGATGGCGACGACAGATACTTGACCAGCCGTTGAATGCGTACACCCGTGACTCTGAACTGACTAGCTGGAAGTAGTCAGTTGCATACATGTAGCAAGATGTCACGAGGCAGTAGCTGGTGGTATCTTGCAGCTGTTTATGTCCGTCCCACACATGACAAACGGACAAGGTCCGCCACTCTCCCGCAATCACGACATGCATGGCGAAAAATTCCTGATTCTATCTTCATGAACTTGGGTCGTGTGGTTGTGATCGGTACTCATCCGCGCAGTTACTGAGCGAGATCGTTGCTCTTGCTTTGAATGATGCTACTTAATGACTGGTGACATTCGTGATGGTCAATGCTATCATTTGTCCACTAGTTCTGAGTGAGGAACAAGATGCTGGAAGTGTGTGAGCTTCTTAAACTTATACGACCGGCTGATGTTACCGCTGCGCTGAACGATATTCTATGAGTGGGATTTATTACAGCCATCTGGCGAAAAGAAGGGATCATTTCGAAGAGGACAAGCTTGGACAATTGACGTAGCAGTCGAAAGTCCGAGTCAATTGTAGAGCGCTTTGACGACAAGCAACTCGCTAATGAGGATTGGCAAGAGTATGAACACCCGCTCATGATCGTGGTGTTGACGATATTTCCGATTGCTTCTGTTAGGCATGACCATTAATACCATGAACTTGATGCGGAGCGAAACTGAATTCGTCATGTTATCCCATCTCATTCTTTCCCGAAAACACAACAATGATTTGCTTTTCCACTGATTGTTCAATGTGCTACACGTCCAACAACTACACGCAACCGACATTTACAGTATAGTCTCAGGGTATGCAGGCTTATGTTTAGCTGCTGACAAGAGTTTAAAGACATGATGGCACCATGAACAGCGGTCTCATTCCACGAAGCTGATCAGCGAAACAAAGCAATTCCTGACTGGCATTCAGATAGGGCTTGTTTCTTGAACAAGTCTATCGTGACATTGCAATGGAGATGACGTGAGACTCGTACATTTGCTGTGCAGATGACGCAGGAAATAGACGATACACGGCCCCTGTGTGTCCGCGAGTGTGTTTCTATACCCTCCTCCATGATGTCAGCACTAGTGGATAATCATACTGTTCGTGCGATGGTGGCCGCGCTATCAGCAAACGGGGCAATCTTTCGCATATGTAGCATCGATCTAAGCTTTATTTGCGTCGCTAGTAACTGGACATTGGTGGACGTCCTGTACACTCCAAAGTGGTCGCAGTGATATCCTGGAAACGAAGACTACGTCAACTATGGAGAGTACAGTACGATCACCCGATGTACGGATAAAAGAGACTTATGATATCTTATGACGAGCAGGGTGCAAGATTAAACGAGTTTGCGAATGTACAATTGCAAGCTATTCATGTAGCACCTCTGCACGAATGAGTTCACCTAACAGCCATTAATGACACATTGCTAGGTCCCATCTGCCGTTCTTTCTAGTGTTGCTTCGACTTAGCAGCACCGATACGCTACGCTCTCTTCTGCAAGCAGAGAATACATCTACTCGAAAGATACAATCCCATCATGGCACTTGCAATAGGGGACACAATTACTTTTGGTGTTATCGTCAGTATCAGGGAGAAAGTTACGTTTGTACATGGCACAACACTAGTCCATGATAGTATTCGCTCGGTCAATGGTGACAAAGACCTTGCAACGTATTCCAATGAGGGTACAGTATTACCGTACAAGAGTAGCTGTTTTTGTACATTGTACTTAATATTGTGTACACCACGTAGATATAGATGGTTGGTCGAGAGCTGCTTCAGCATTCGATCGGAATATCGGGGGCATAATTAGTTTTGTCTGTATGTGTACACGAGTCGCTCACATCTTGTCTGTTTTGGAAAGCCAGTGATGATTACAACACTATGTCCAATTACTGCATGAGTGACGTGATTACGATCACCGTCGCAATGTGTCAAAAGAACCTTCTGAGGCCCACAAAAAAGCACTGTATTTTTCTTAGATGTTACGTAAAAAAAGAGTTGTATGCAAGTCTTTACGTAGCGGTTTTTCCAGCATGTAGGTTTTCGTTGTAGTTGAGGACACACTCTTCCTTTTCAATTACTATTGCTATACTTTGCGTAGTTGTACGTGATTAAGTGTCGACAAGAATACGGCATTAAGCACTGCATTTACATACAGAAAAGCTCACTTATTAGGTAGTGGCGGTGGATTTATTTCTGCTAGGCATTGTTATCATCTTTGCCGCTTATGTGCAATACCAACATCCTGGTGTACTTCCAGCACGAAGAGCGTACTTCCTAAAGTGCTTGTGGTATGGCGACATCTCATTTTTGCTGAGAAAGAAAGATGCTCACATGTTGACGCTGAATAAGTCTTTAAGTTGTTCATTGCCGAGGTTTTGATAGTGCTGCTGCCGCAAGATGTGGCAAACAACTCGACAGCCCTCGGCTGCGATGAAGAGTGGAACCCTGTCTACATCAACATGGACTTGGAGTCTTCTTGTCCATAGTGCTGCTCCTGTACTGAATATGATTCCAGTAAGCTGCGTTGCGAGTGTCATGAGCGGCATGTGTTTTCCACACGGTTCTTTATATGCTGCCAAGTACACCGCTTCTGCTATTCCGTAACACTTACTTATTTGGTTCGCCGACTAAAAGCCGCTCTTCGGTACAATCTCGATCAAAATTTCCAGCTCGTATCTTGCGCGCATGTGCTAACCAAAGGCTGCTTCTACTTAGGCACGCGCTGCTTTCTACACATTTTACCCGATAAAGCTCCACGGGACGTACATGAAGTCAATTGGATTCAATCTCGGGTTGATTCTGCTCTGCAGGATGCAATTTCCGTCTAGAACAAAGAAAGCGTACAGCGTTTTGCTTCTTCTTGTAAGCCTTGTAACATCGATAAGTCATTTGAAGCAAGACCACCAGCCTTATAAGTGGGGCAGTATACACCATAGCCCACTCTTGATTATGTACTAACGTCAATGCAATTGTTTCTTCTCCTGCAATCTCAGACGATATGTTGGTAGCTGCAACAGCAAGTGACGCATAAACCAATTTGGTAGCTTCTGTAGACAGATTGCAAAGCTCTGAGCTGCTCAGTAACCGCCCGCTAAGGCTCGAATCACGATGCGCTGCAACTAACACCGTATGAGTCACCTGTCAGTGCTGCGTCAAGTATAGCTGAAGGTCTATCAGTGTGTTTTCATTGCCCTCTTTAACCAAATTCACACCATCCTCATTATCTGTCTTTGCTTGTAGCTGTGCGTAATAATTGAGAGGTGTGAGAAAACGCCTAGAACTTCGTGACTACTTTGCAAACCCTCTCAGACGACAGCACGGACATGTGCTATTGCTGGACAAGTGCCGCTGGTATTTCAATGCCTTGAAACGTCTTTTGTATCAGCACAAGCTGTCGGCTTAACGTTGCCCGACGATACCCTAGAAATCTCGCTGCTGAGCGTGGGGCATAGCGTTAGCCAGAACGATGGACTGCAGTTAGTGGTGTTGATGCAGCTTACGTCTTGGCTGCCGCTTATAAGAATAACGAAAGCAATACTAGACAGTTTCTGCTTGGTCCATGATGGTATTTCACTTCTATTCTTGCATCTACTTGATCGGTAGGACGCTCTTGCTCAGAATTTCGTAATCCTGCGAGTCATCTCCACATGCACTTGGCGACGTCTCGTCAATCTCAAAACCGAGTTGTTCTCTATAGAACTTCATGGCCTCCGTATTGTTCTTGAACACCGTGAGCACGACGAGCTCCATCCCTTGTTTTCTCGCCACCAACAGCAGCAGCTGCATCAGAAACTTTCCGAGTCCGTGGCGCTGCACTCTAGTAGCCAGTTGAATCTCGTAGAGATACAAGACTAGGGCACCGTCATCCTCCACGAAACGAAAGTGAGCAAAGCCTACAAGTGATGTCAAGGCATTTGAAACCAGGTCGCTCTCGTCGTAGACCAAGAGATAGCGTGCGTCGTCCTCGAATAGCTCCGTGTGTTTTGCAATTGAATTGTAGCCCCAGTCCGATGTCTGATACAAAGTCTTCATGTTATTTTCAAAGAGAGCCACGACACTCGCGCGTGTGGCCTCCGACAAGTCTTTGGACTGCGAACCGCGGATGGACACGTTAATTCCGTTGCGAGTGTAGTGTGAGAAAGCCTGGAAATCCATGATTACGTCCAAAACGGCTTTGGCTGCAACTATTTTCGATTGCTTCGGGGCATTTGACGCTGGAGCCGACTGTTTTTTCGAGCTTTTCTTGGACCTCTTCTTAGGCATTCTTGAAATCCAAGCGTAGTGGGGGAGCAGCGACAGGGTCCGTGTAGCAACCGAATCGATTTGTCCCCTATAATCGTACGGCGAGAAAAGCTCTGAGAGCTGCAAAGCAGCTGCAGGAATGAGTAGTAGCCGAGAACGCAGAGGTTTGTAAATATCAGTTGTAAAATTGAGTCGACCGTGGAATCAACAGGGTAAATAAGCCCAAGGCACGTCAATTGCTCAACAAAGAAGATGAAAAATGCAGAAGTATACGAGCGAAAGAGTCTTGATCGAGTGGGAGGGGGCGTGATTGGCAGGTTTACAAGCTAATATGCGGAATGTCTTTGATGAGCAGAAGGTGAGCGACATGCTCGACGGGCATTACGACAAGTCGAAGCTTTTCTGTGACGGTGAAAGGCCAAAAGACGCATACGATCAAGTTTAACTCCGGATATCTTCACGAGCTTGTCGCGCGATCGGTTGCCTCGTATGCGCGAGCAAACGACAGCATTAGCGCTGTGGAAAGCGTTGATGGCTATCTACGAGGATAAGTCTGACCCCACTGTTCGCGGATAACGTGTACGGCAGCTGGTTTACGAGCTCTGGAATGCAAAACTGACGAAAGTCGGAATTGTGAATGCGCATCTGGCGAGAATGTTTTATCTCCAGATGGAACTGGCTGATCTCCAGTACAGTGAACGAACTCGATATGTGCGAAGCTCTGTTGGCTAGTTTGCCGAAAACGACGCAGTTCTACCAACTACGACAGACAGTTTAGTTTGTGGGCGACGCGGCAGTCTACACTTTAGAGAAGATCCGTGAGCTGATTTGCACAACTGCAGCTTTGCAAGACGAGACCAAAAGCGGATTTGGCATTGGTGCTCTCATGAGCACGAAGGACAAGGACGCGAACATCAGCGCGACAAGAAAAAAGATAGCCAGAGTGGTGGCAGCAGAGGATTTACTCCTGTCGACAAAGGACGCGACAAGTCGAAGGACAAGCAAAAGAAGTGTCATACGTTCATTAGTACAGAGTATTGAAAGCGGACTTGTGTAAGTCGTGCTATATATGACGACGGTTCGACGTCAGCCGGAGCTGAAGGCAATGATCGCAGTGAAAGCAAGTGCAACATAAAGGTGAACTTTACGCAACGTGACGTGATTGGGATTTTTGGTGGAGACCAAGTTGAGGGACCATTGAATTAGAACACGTGGACGATGGCGATTGCAAAAATGAAGCAGAGCATGCAATCAATGTTTGTTGGAATTTAGGGATCGTACATTGACACTACATCAATTACGCATGTGATCGGTGAGGAGTAGTACTTCATTCGCTAATCTGGAGTTCTCGATTGAAGAAGCGACTGTGCATGGTGTCGCACCGAGCTTCAAGGAGCGACCAGTCGGAGTTGGGACGATCGTATTTGAAACGTTCGTGGACGGGAAGACTGCTGTGATCGACGACGTGCTTTTCGTTCCTGGTGTGATCAACCTGCCGTTGTCGATGGGACCTGCAATTGACGATAACTTACGATCGAGTGGGACTCGAACACGCACCGATTTACAATTTGAAGGGTAACGAATCGGCGGCTCAAGCCGAAAGAGTTGGAGCTTGTTAAGTGTTTGAGAGTAAATTGCAGCGCGAGACAAGGATGACACAAGTTCCGAGACGCGTGTGATCAACTTCACGGCCAGAGATGGTGTTGCTGATATGCAATTGTGGCACAAGCGTCTGAGCCATGTGTGTCCACAGTACATCAAGTTGATGGTGGACCGGAAGCTCTTCGATGGCATGATGCTCTCAGGACGTGATGTACATGACTGCGAGACGTGTCACTTGGCGAAGCGAGTACGGAAGTCGTTTAAGAAGACGCTGGACCGTTTGTGGTTTCAAATCCGCATATATTGGTGCAGTTTTGGTCGTCATGGATGCTGTCAGTAAGTTTGTGACAACGTACATGCTGCAAAGTAAAGCAGCACATGCAATGGCTGCAGCTTTGAAACAGTGCTTTTTGCGCTGAACGACAGGTTTGTCGTAATGCAAGTGAGAACATTGGTGGAAAGAGGATTGAATTTCCGATACGACAACTGCCAACGGACAAAGGTGGTGAATTCGCGAGTGCCAAAATTCAAACAGTGATTAAATGATTGAGACATGGAGCATGTACAAGTCGGACTAGCCAGTTTGCTGCTGAATCCATGTGAACGGGTGCACAAAACATTGATGGAGACGACGTGGATCCGTGTCGATTGCCATCGCGTTTCAACGACTTTGTCATCCATGCGACGATGTGCGGCGTTGATGACGGGGAAGAGCAGTACACAAAAGCGACGTGAATATCTAAAGAGTCAGCGGGATCAGTGCGTTCCGAGTGTACGCAAGCAAGTGGCGTGATGCGGAGTGTCTTGAGCTCGAAGCGCTTAAGACTGAAAGGGTTCTCGAGAAGATTGACGTGGCGGAAGTGCCATTGTCGACAAACATGTTGACATTGATGTGGGTCTATGCGGTGCAGACCAAAGCAAGGAGGAGTGATTTGATTTAAAACTCGCCTTATTGCGCGCGGCGACAAGCAATGCCAAGATATTGATTTTGTCGACACATATGCACCGGTATATTCGCATGGCGTATTTGGATTGTTTGTGGCACTGTCGACGCTATTGCGTCTGGACATTTACAATTGCGACGTCAACAAAGCATATCTCATGCGGGCATACAAATTTTACAGTACGTCTATCGCATCCTAGACCACGTGAATGCAAGCAACAAAGCATTGATAGTGAAGAAAGCTCTGTATGGTTTGCGCCAGGCTGGACGAGAATGGAACGTGGAGTCCGATCGCTTTCTCAGGGCGCAAGAATTCGAGCATGGACACACCCCGAGCCGTGTTTATATGTGCGATGGATGAATGGTGTAGTCTGTTTTTCGCTGGTTGCCGTCGACGATCTATTGGCAGCAACAAAAATAGTAGAGATACGAATATTTTGCTATTTGCAAGCATCTTGAACGACAGTATAATTCACAAGCGCCAAGATGAAAGCGCAGGCCACATTGTATTTGAAGGATTCAGTGACAGCGATTGGGGCAGTGATCCCGACACGCGACAAAGTGTGACCGGCGTGGTATTCACTACTGCGGGTGGCGCGGGGTCATGGCTCTCACGGCTTCAAAGTGTCGTTGCAATGATCACGGCAGAAGCAGAGTACATCGCAACGTGCGAAGCAGCTAAGGAATCAGCATCGCTTCGCAACGCAATTGAGAAACCATCGAGCGTGGCGAACAAGAGCGTCGCAGTGGAGATCGGCGTCGGCAACTCGAGCGCGATGACGCTAGCAACAGAATCGATTAGCCGTCTATAATCATACCGTGAGAGAAGCTCTGACTGAACTACTTTTGGTTCGTCAGCATGGTCCGCATAGTAGTTGCGACAAGTACTGGGAAAATTGTTTAGTCATTAAGCTGATAGCAATACGTACGAGGCGGTCAGTCTGAATCGACACCAGTTGTAACGGGGCGAGCCCGTTACATAATATTGACACTTATATGAAGTGTCAATAAAACATTATTATAACTAATAATATTTTGACAATATTACCTTTTCTTATAATATTGTTCCTAGATCTCCTTGAAGTTGGAGATGCCCTCTTATTGGTTGATATGGGCCATCATATCAACCAGCGCGCTGACCAATGACCGATGGACGCGCGCAATGAGTGGAGGGCAAGTCGTCAACATACATAGTTGTAGTTTAATATAGTTAACATAGGTTATAACAGATTAGTTTTATTAAGATAGTTAACTATATTAAATACAGTTTTCTTTTCCTCTACTTCTAAGCGTTTGTTTAGAAGTAAAGCTTCCTCTGCCTCTTGTGTAAGAGAGGTAATTGAGGCACCTGCTTTCACTGTAATCAGTGAAAGTAGACTATACTGTAATCAGTATAGTCGGAGGGTGCCCCATTACACCAGTGGTCCCCTTCTTTAACTTAAAGGCCGCCCAGTGATCCTTTGATTCCTATGCTTGAACCAACTAGTTTGATCTTAGCCGGGTACTTAGAACGCCAGCACAAGAATCTGGTTTTTTAGGTGCTAGTGTGGCTCCATCGTGAAATAATACGATTTTGTTCGTTGTAGTGTCATAATCGCGAGCCGTGTACGTCGTGAGGAAAACCCAGTGAGGATGGTAAAAATGAAGATGTTAAAAATGACGATGTTGTGCTCCTTGGCCTAAGCAATAGTAAAGGGATCGACCCAGCAAACCCTCAATATTACTGCTGACAGTACAAGATTTATCCTTGACCACAAAGCAGGTGTATTTTTTCGACTACGCTGAGAACGTTAGAGACTTTCGAGTGTTTTATTCGGAAGATTTTAAGATCGAGGTGACGGCTGGATGAGCGTAAAAACGGGAAGTATTACGCTTATACCGAACAAAGAAACAGTTGTCCATATTATGAAGGACGCCAATGAGGTGCGACCGACTGTAAACGGGCACTTTGTAAAGAAGCTGCCACGAATTACGCGGGCACACCTTCAAGCAGCGCGAGGAAGCGGGTATACCGTCTTACCTCCGCGTGCGGTGGTGGTGGTGTTGGTCGGCGCTAAAAGGCGCTGTACCAACCGTTGCCGGTCGCTTGGGGCGAACCGCGCAACGAACAACTAAGAAGTGCCTCACTTACGTCGCGCAGAAGCTTTTTCAGCTTCTCGTGCGCAGTGTGCGATGTTTAGAAAGATTCAAGACTGAATTATATTTAATAGATTTAACTGAATATAAGATTAAATACTGATTGGCTAATTATGGAAAGATTGGATACGTGTCTCTTCAGAAGCGTATCCTTACGTGCGAGCTTCAATACATTTCAGTTCGCTGATGACATTTATCTGAAGCGTCACCATGACTCCTAGTCTCAACTGGGCGTCATCCCCGCTGAATGTGAATCCATCTATGGATATCAGGTGGGCCACATTGTTGTGCCGCACCCAAGTGGCAGGCCTAAGGTACCTCGTACCCATTTAGCCTTTCCGTTAAGTATTCGATATTTAACGAGCCGTGTAACTTTTGGCCTGTTACATCGACACTATAAACTGGACACAGATGAGCCGGTGGGGGTTAGTAAGACGAATGCGTGTCCTTTATCGAAATGGTGGAAGCAGAGACTACGTTTGAAGCTAGCCTGATCATTTCGCCTTTGTCCAACTGCCGCAATACAAGGATGCGAGATCTGAGTAAATACGTTTCACCATTACAAGCATCGCACATAGAACAATTGAGTCGTAACGTTACAGACGACAAGGGGATCGGTTGACGTTAATGTCACACCACAGTTAGAAGGAAGTGGCCGTCTTATTTCTCTACAATTTGCAACGATTAACGTGGACGGCTAAGTCGCTGCAGCAAACGTGGCATATTATGCCAGCATCATGGCTCAAGACAATTAAAGCTGAAAATGTTTGTGTATGCCAGAACAGGACAGGGACGCTTGTTTACGTATAACAATCATCCGTCCAATTATGCGTCAATGGGATTACACTAACTAGATCGTCCAAGTCCACTAAATTCGAGCAGTCCAATTGTAACGGGCCAAGCGTTACACGTACTCGTTAAGAATGCGATACTTCACAAAGAGGTCTAAAAGGGTACGTAAGTATTTTGGACCTGATACTTGGGTAAGGCACACCAATGTGACCCATCCCAATAAATGCGATATCCATTGATGGGATCAAAATTTATAAAATCATCGCTTGTGCAAAAGGTGTGTGCCAGTAGCACGTAGTGGTTTCCTAAAAGCGCCCGTTCATAATTATTAGCACTAGTAGTTCTTTCCACGACCCTTCTCACTGATTGTACGTGTGAGTGAGGATGGGCCTCAAAATGGATTAGGTCCAATTCCCCCACCTCTCCTAGCATCATACTAAACTAGAGCATTTGGTTCAAAATTTGATAAACAAGACCCGTTCAACCTCTTCTATTGTTCTCCTGAGCAGCATGTTGCTCAGCTGGAACAGTTAAAGGCACTTGTTCTCGGACAGAGTGGAGACGCGTCCAAAGCACATGGGCATTCTGCGGCTGAATTCATCAATAAGACTCAAGATGAGATTCTGCGTGAGCAGGCCCAGAAGGAGACGCAGAACGCTCTGCCCAATTTAATCAACTGTGGTCCAATCGAATGGAATGACGCCCGGGAGGACATCATTTGTTGCCTACATGAGTTTGGATGCTTGAAGTATAATAGGAGCTTCGCATGGGCATCGTGCCGTCAATACGCTGTCCAACCGTTAATATTGGCACGCAAATGGGATGTCCTTGTATCAGTGATAGGTTTGGGTAGTCATAGCTCGTTCAGTCACACTTTCGCACCGAGTAATGGTTTGAAAATGGCAAACAAAGCGTCTGCTTTGCACGCACTTCCATGGAAAATGTACTATCAGATCGTTAAGTGGGTTTGTATCGTAGGAATAGACAGCTCGTCGGCGAAAGAATGAGCAAGCAGATTACGAGAGATTTTGGCGATGGTTTCTAGATTTCAAAAGCTTTGTGATGCGGTCGTGAGCGGCGTTGTGCGCTAGCAATGGTTGGTGTGACTAATTGCCTCTATAACTTAATATGATTGACTCAAGTTTACAGTGGTCTACAGAGCGAATAAGAGGCTCACGACGCAATGAGTAGGACCAGTATGGAAGTGCAACATGTGCTTAAGTGGAGCGAGCAGGAAGACGTGGTGTAGTTTTGTGGGCGTGTATGGTTATTGGGTATGTGTATTGTTATTGGGTATGTGTATTGTTGTTGTTTGTGGGTAGGTGTTGCGGTTAGGTTAGCGGCCTAGTGGTCTAGTGGTATGATTCTCGCTTTGGGTGTGAGAAGTCCCGGTTTTGATCACCGGCTGGGCCCGTGCTTTGCACCTTTTGCACACAACCTCACACATCTCACCGCCTACGCAGGTCCACCGCACCCGTCGGTGCGTGACAGCGCACGGCAAGAACTGCGCATGCTCAGCTGCTGCTTTCAGGGATTTTTGCTGCCCTCTACCCTTACTGCTAAATCAATCCTTCAATTAGGTGGACAAACAGCCCTGTTCGGTTTAGGCCTGACTCAGAGTTGCCCACCGATCGTCTCGTAGCAACGTTACTTGGTCACCAATGACCTGCTCACAAAGTAGTGGAGTCGCTGCAATCAAGCTTGGAGGAGACCATTCGTCGCCTTCATGATTTGGATGCGTGAAGTATAATAGGAGCTTCGCATGGGCATCGTGTCCGTCAATACGCAGCTGTTAAGTCACACTCTCACATCAGTAATGGTATAAAAAATGGCAAACTGTAACGGGGCTAACATGTACTGTCACTAGCTCACAAGTGCGTTTGATAAAGATTTATGCCCAAGTAAGAGCTTCTAAGTAAATTTAATTTTATTTTATAATTGTTATAATTTGTACTAATTACGAAGATATTCAAGCCGTTATAAAGACGACAGTGTTCCCGCCTTTCGGGAACCACACATTTTCAGGTTAATTTATAAGTGGTACATATTGGGACCTAAAGTTTTAACAATGAACCAATGATGAAATTGCCACGCTGTGCCCGCTATTCGAACACAGCACCTACCAACATATGTAATTGGTTCATTTATGGTAATGTTATGTGTGTAATGTAGTCCATTACATCACCCCCTTCTCAAGACAGCACCTACCAGCCGTAAGTGCTCAAATGTCGAAACCCCATCGCTCACAAACGAACAAGCAATGTCCGGAGACCCAACACCCAATCCAGCAGCATTTCCAAGAAATATCAGCGGGAATGCAACAGCCAGCATCATGGCGCGGTAGCTCATACCTTGATCACTGTACGACTTGTCCGGAGCTCACGCTCCGGACTCGCTGGACACGATGCGGGACTACTTCCGCCGATTTCGAAAACTGCGCGGGAAAGGTCTTGATGGAATCGAGCATGAAGCCCTGCAACGTTCTTGGTGTACCTTCATCCAACGTTGAAATCGGATGCTCGAGGATGGTAGCAGCTTCCAGCTATGGCTCGCCAATCGAGAGGAACTTCGCGCCGATCACTCCATCGGCGCGCTACGTGTGAGGATGCTTGGAATGAGGACCGTCTCTGCTTCGTCCATGTCAATGAAGGATGCCAATCTTGTGACTCGACTCCACGCCCAACTCATGACGAATGGCGACGACACATCACTGAGTGTCCACTCAGCGAACGCAAACGAAGTTGGATTGCAAAGTATGAGCGAAGTCTGAGCAAACGGAAAAGCGCGGTTATTCGTGGTGCGCCTACCACTCGCGACAGCGGATTCAATCTACGCAGAATCATCGGAGCAGGGAAGCGACACATTCGCCTTCCCGTCCTGCTGC